ATCTTCCCTGGGATACTCGTGAGACTTACCGGCCTGTAATTTCCTGGATAAACTATGTTAACCATGATCCTATGTTAACGCAGTTGATGTATATTTATGTGAGTTTGATTAAATCTGTCACATACAAGGGATTTCCCCAAAATTTTATCTGGAGGTTTCTGGCACCTCTTGCATTCCCCTGCCCAAAGGGTACCTTTCTCAGAGGTGTGGTTCAGCTGTTATAAAGATGTCTAAGTGAGCGCATGATTCAGCAAACCCAAATTAATTCCAATAACTAATTTGCAAATCCAGGGGGGGGGCGATTCCTGATAACTCGAAACGATTTGCCCAGTCCCTAAAAGTTTGAGTTAATGAGTTTTCACTGTACTAGGCATTAAAATATGTGATGAAGAGAGAACACCATGTTCTGCCTCTTTGGTATGACACACACAGACTTTTGTTCTCTTCACTGGCTGAGGTGAATGTATCAGTGGGCTTGTACAGCAGACTTTTTCACATATAAAGTTTGAACTAGCAAAGAATGCAATACGGTGTCAATTTTCAGCAAATTAGGAACATGCCTTTTTTCCATTAGCTACATGCAGTGTTTAACTCATTGGCATTGGGGGAGGTGGCACTTAACCATCCCCACAGGCAGCTAAATCACCCCCCCTGGATTTGCAAATTAGTTATTGGAATTAATTTGGGTTTGCTGAATCATGCGCTCACTTAGACATCTTTATAACAGCTGAACCACACCTCTGAGAAAGGTACCCTTTGGGCAGGGGAATGCAAGAGGTGCCAGAAACCTCCAGATAAAATTTTGGGGAAATCCCTTGTATGTGACAGATTTAATCAAACTCACATAAATATACATCAACTGCGTTAACATAGGATCATGGTTAACATAGTTTATCCAGGAAATTACAGGCCGGTAAGTCTCACGAGTATCCCAGGGAAGATCATGGAGAGCATACTAAGGGACCATCTCTTGGATTTCCTGGAAGGAAACGCGCTCATTCGGGACTCTCAACACGGCTTTAGGAGGCGTCGAAATTGTCTCACCAATTTGCTCGAATTCTACGACTGGGCGACGGAAGAGAGGGATAAAGGGAATCCCGTGGACATCGTCTATTTAGATTTCGCGAAAGCTTTCGATACCGTTCCTCACAAGAGGTTGCGGGTTAAACTGGAGGCGCACGGGATCCAGGGTAGGACGAGTGAGTGGATCAGTAGCTGGTTGGCAGGACGAGAGCAACGGGTGATGATAAATGGGGAAGCGTCGNGCTTTCAAGATAATTAAAGGAATAGATAATGTCGAATGTGGTAGGTTTTTCCAGTTTGATGACAGCAAGAGAACGAGAGGTAACCGACTTAAGTTGCGCAAACCGCAGGTGCGGCTCAGGTCGAGACAGGAATTCTTTACGTGCAGAGTGGTGAACGCGTGGAATGCGTTAGATGACGAAGTAGTGGCTGCCCCTTCTGTGACTATCTTTAAGAAGAAACTAGATACTTTCATGGACAGGCAAAAAGGTGGGGGGCAATGTTGACGTTAGGTACTAGACAGTAAGCAACTAGGATAGTAAAAAAAAAAAAGAAAAAAAAATACAAAAATATTTAGCTTTAAGAGGGTTAGGCCTACCCTAAAATTAAGGAACGCTCGACCTCGACACGTGATATCGAAATGGGCGAAATCGCCTCTTGATATCACTAACTCTCCTGACTCCTGGATGATGTGTATATGCAGCAAGCAATGCTTAACGGTAAAAAAATTGAATCAATCCAAAAAAATGTACTAAAAATTATTGTTAACTAAAATGATTTGGCTTTTTTTTTTTTAACACCCTGTAATATGTGCACTCTTACATTTTTATGGTGGAGTGCTCCTTCCCGGTCTGTTGCTGCATTGTTTAAATAGTAAAGTGAAAACAAACCATGCTGCTAACTGATACATCAATGCCATGTTGATGGCATTGATGTATCTGACAGCTCTAATTAGAATAGGAATTAGGTTGTCTCATCAACACCACTTACACCAAGATCTCACCATTTGTGCATCTGGCAGGTGTGCATGTATCCAATATTTCTCTCCTATTTGTCCCATTCCTGTGAATCCTTTGCTGCTCTCTCTCAGGAATTGTTCACGTTTACTTAATGAAGTGGAAACTGTTAGGTTTTGTTATCCAGCTTTCCATAAGTATTACCTTTGATTCTATCCCCATCCCTACTCCTTTCCTTCTCAAAATGTCCACAGGAGCACTTCAAGCAAACAATAAGTTTGCATAAGCTTGTCTTACCAGATCAAATCTTGCTGATCATGATTAATTGGAGGTTAATTGGAGAGATGGAACTTGAATATGGCCTTTTTCACATATTTAACAGCCAACCTGTACTTTCAGCCTTTTTATGGATCAAGCTGTCATAATGCCTTCAGAGCTTGCATTAGTGCAAGATTTATGCATGGAGTTGCAGGTTAGAGAACCACCAGATTTTTAAGGGTGGATAAAACTTGGTCATTTACTGTTATACCTTGTCATCATGATACACTGACTCCACTTCCTCTGCACAACCCATAGAATACTTTTTCCCTTCATCTGAATCCCATCCATAGTCATACTCTCAAGACCCACCCTACAGGAATACAGATTCATGAAAAACAAAGAAAATTATGAGTTGTCAATGTTCTTTTTTTGAGTGATGGAAATTTTTGTTATTGGGAAACACAATAACAAATTAATAATTTTACAGAGTTGTCAGTTTTTTCACTGGGACTATAAATTGACTCAGTTTGATCTTAAGTCTTAGTCTATCTTAGATTCTGACCATGACTGAGCTCTCATTATTAAAAAGGTATAAATAATCACATCTTACAAGTCTTAGGCTGGGACCAAGCATTATAACCCTGTTCAATTGTGAATAATTTTTGAAGTAACTCCATCTAGTTGACATGGTTTTTATATGTAAATTGCTGCTGCAACTGGTTACTTGTTAAGTAACTTACCCAATCATGGTTACAGATGGCCTTACCCTCATCATTCAGTGAGAAGGATTCCAAGCAGCTCCTGGACACTGGAATCAAGAACTATGAGAGAAATCACAAGAAACATGCTGTTGCTCAAATCCTGGGTTCAACAGTCCTTGTGAGTCAGGACCTCATCCAGAAGATTCTGGAAGAGGTGAAGCCCCTTCTGAAAAAGAAGGCTGAAAAGGTTTGAAGCAAAATTGCACCTCTTTACAATCTCAAAATTTCCCTGGTGTTCATCGATCCAAGTTGTTGTAGGAATGGGAAGCAGGAACATTGCAAGGGTTCTACAAAGGCCAGCTAAGCCGTGATAGTTCAGGACCAAAAGGGCGAAAGGGGCTTATAAGCATAGCTGATGAGGATGAGGAAGACCGAATGGCTGGGAGGAAGAGGGAGGAAAGACGAAAGAAGCCTGCTAGTGGCAAGAGTGGAGGTGGAACACAGGTGAATGAAATTCTTTCCTATATCCTTTTTTTTAAAAGGGACATTTCTTTTCTTCAACTGAGGAGCCTTTCCTGGAAAATAGGGCCGGGAGACTAAGAGCAAGGCTGTGAAGAAGAAGTACATGAAGGGCAGGGTTGCTGATGGATCTGATGATGAGGATGAGGGGAACAATCCTTCTCATACTGCAGGAGAGAAAAAAGAACTGGAGTTCCTATCATCTGCAGACTTGCTTGCTTTCATTCAGGAGCTCCCATTCCTTGCTGACATTCCAGAAGAAGTTGCAAGTGATTTGGCACGTGCCCTGTACAGGTGTGATGGAAAGTCTTGAAATTTGAGAAAGGGACAAAGTGATAGAGCTCCTTATTATTTCCTTATTATTATACAGGTATATAAAAAGAAAAAGATGAATAACCTCATATCCAAAAATAATACTGATATTAAATCAAATATATTAGTGATTAGACATGATTCTATCATACTATCATCAGTCCTCCCTGCAATCACTTAGCAAAGTCATCCCCCATTTAAATTCTTCAAGTTTTTAGGTTCTGTTCTCATTGCTGGTAATTTTATGGTATTCAAAAAATATAACCTTTGGAATCAGGAAGAAAATGAACAATGAACAAATAATTAGTGCATTTAAAGGTGAAACTGTCTAATGGAGAAAAACAATAAAAATCTACCAAAGTTATTTTAAAATCCTCCATCATGCCAACTATCAGCAGCTGTAGCTACTACTCCTACTGGCCTTCAAGGAGTTTCTCTGAAGTTGGAACACAACAACTGACAAACTTTGGAAATTATCTGTTGGATGGATTGAAGCTTCTAAATTGCTTACTCTGACAATATGGTGATGAATTTGATCCAATAGAACGGTGGTGAAGATGTATCAAGATGAATCTCAAGCTGTGTTCTTGGCCCACATGGCAGCCACAACAGAATCCCGTCGCAAAGCCCGTTCTGATCTCCAAGAGAAGCTCAATGGATTGCTAACTAGCCTTCATATGTTTGAAAAGGGAGTGAAGGTGTTTACAAATGAGGACACTCAAACCCAACTTGCTCGTCATCTTCTGAGAACATTGGGGATGCAAGTTGGGACATCTCTAGTGGGTTATTTGGCATCAGAGCATGAGGTGACCTTGCCAGAACAGGAACTCACTCCTGAGGTGAGCATCAAGGAGTGAAAATCAAGAAATCTATATCCCAGGATTGCATGCATTTTTTAATTCTTCTTCCAGAGCCTGAAGAAGTTGGTGTCAAAGTTCCCATCAAGCATTCAAGCAATTGTTTCCAGTCTACAGAAGGCATTAAGTGGAAACAACCTAGAGGAATCTTTGCCTGAACTGGAAAGGGTATTTGAGTCAGATGCCCTGGATTTCATGGTAAAGCGACTTGACAAGAAGAAGGAGAAGTAAGTCACTAGTTACTATGCAGGGTGTCACAGAACCCTAGCCCTTAGCGTCTGTAGCAGAACTATATGACGGTGAACCAAAATAGGTTTCATTTCTGAATTTAGTATTCTATTTTACATTTACAGGCAATGACCTAAGCAGACAAATCTTAATTAAGTGAGATAAAGGGGCTTTTAAGCTAAAGAGCTATCTTTTCCTCTTAGGAATCCATGTATTCGTAAGTGACTAAGGGAGATTTCTATGTCTGGATCTTATCTCCCATATTGTGTGAGATCACCACCAGCCTTGATGACAGCTTGAATGCCAAATTGGTGGGACTGTAGCCAATTTTGGTAGAAATCTCTGTCATATTCAAAAGATTGGAGAACTGTTGCAGCATTATTCCAAAGTAACCTTGGGAAATTAAAAACTGCAGCCTAAGAGTTCCACACCAAATCACCAGATCTTCAACTTCATCTTTCAGCATTAAACTTGTGCTTTCAGACACAGTTCAGGGGAATTTCATGGGAAAACTATGTTGCTGAAGAAATCAATTTTGATGCTTTTCAGAAGCTGCTCAGTGGTGAAGACATTGAAACAGGCATACTGGTTGTGAGAAAGTATCACTTGATCAGTATCCTAGACATTTAGCCAACAGAAAGGGAAAGTCATGTTTAACTGGAATAACTCTCCTCACATTCAAGCCATCAGGACCAGTGGTCAGCATGCATGATGCTGAGATTTAGCCAGTAAATGTAGAATTGAATATTTAATTCAGAAATGAAAACTACTTTGCTTCACCATCACAAAGTACTGCTAGAGAGAGGAGCTAAGGTTTTGTAGGATTCTGTACATATTGTTCATAGCCCAACAACCTTGTATTGTCTGAAGCCTTTGGAAAATACAGAGGCCCTATTCATTCTCCCACACACCCACCCCATCTTGAAGTGCTTTCATTGTATCACCTCTCGAAAGGGAGATTGCAAATTGCCTGGTTTTGCTGGCACTGCTTCCTTCATTTCATTTGCATCTTGGGGAAAATAAGATCATCAAGACATGCAGGGGTATTACCATATTTAAATCTTAGTTGAAGCAATGTGAAAAAATAATTCAAAAATTTGCTATGCATTATCAAGTGGAAATCAAATAACAATTAGAAGCTATAATTCTCATTTTAGGAGGTATCAAGGGTTTCCTCCATGAAAGCTTCTGCACTTTTTCAAGAGAAATGGGAATTCGATTTTTGTAACCAACATTGACTTCTCTTTAATGAAGAATGGGGGATACAAATGCCTCTGTTTTGTCACTTGGAAAAGTTCATTCATATGATATGGAAAAGCACCATGGTTACATCTTTTGCTTCATTCAACCCAGACCATGCTTCACTTTCCCCCTTATCCAGAGATAAGGTGAAATGGTTGGAAGATATGTTTGAAATCCTCCTGAAACCAAGAGAGTTGATGGATACAAAGTGAGGCATATAATTAATGGCCATATCCATTGTTCCCTGCTAAGTTTAATCAATATCGACATAAAACAGACTGTGCTATGAAGGTTTCAAAAGAATTGACTGATTTTTCAAATCACTTCACCCCATCTTCCCTGATGGGGGGGAATGGGTCCCTGGAGGCTCCACTCAGGTCAAATGAACCATTCTACTAGTGAGAGGTTCAATCTAATCCTTATCCCTCTGAGTAGCAGTGCATGCAGTTTGCATTCACTCTAGGCTAATATTTTCTTCTCAAGGACAGTAAAGTACTTGCAGGAGAACCTCAATCATCATTATTTTCGGTTTTTTGTCTGTTCAGGCAGATGTTGAACTCACACAAAGAAGGACTATTGGAGCAGCTGACACAATGCGATGATCCAGCTTTGACCCTCCATCTGGGCTCATTAATCCTTTTTCAGTCATTGACTGGATTTGCTGTCCATGCATCAGGAAAATTTGTTCCCCAGATTCTTGGCCATCTGAAACCATTCCTGACGTCAGAATCTGTGGATGTCTTGGAACGTTATCAGGGTAAGGACTCGTGGAAATAGAAAACACTTTTTCAGCTCAAGGATTTTAATTTTATTTGCAAAGTTTTTGACCCAACTTTTTGCCCTCATGTATCAGTATTTTTTCTTTTATCCCTTTGTCAGGCCTGGTGATAAAGCAGTTGAGTGAAAAGGATGAAGAGACACTGAAGGAGGTGAAGCTTGAGCTCTTGCAGTTGGTACCTTGTGTCAAAGAGATAAGTATCTCTACCAAAAGGAAGAGCATCAGTGAGGCCCAAGTTCTTCCATGAATGCAAACATCTGCATTTATATTTTTCTCAACTTGAAGTGTGTCATGATAATACTAATTTCTTCCACTGTGTCAACATTTTCCCTCTTATCATCCCTGGGTGCTGGTTGTTGTGAATTTGAATATGGAAGCATTCGTCTACTTCAATTTCTGAACAGTCATGAGTGTGAAACTCTGCTGATTCTGTGAAGTTTTGTATCCTGAGTTAGGTGTCATTACCTGAAAGTCAGATTTTTGTCTCAGCCAGCTGCAATTTCTTTTCTTTCTTCCAACTTCCTGAATATAAATGCAGCAGTGTTTCAGATCTCCAGCAGAACCTAATGGACTTGTACAAACTCAACTTGCAGATATTTTTGGAAGGCATGACTACTAATGGGAGCTCTTAAGAGTTGGGCCTTATGCTTAAAGATAACCTGCTGACTCCTGATACTTGGTACTTTTCAGTACACTCAATACTTGCTCAATGCTTGTGACTGACACCGTGCCTCTGTTTGAGTCCATTGATGCCTTGTTCTACTAAATTGGTTCAATATTTTTTGCTCTAATTAAGTTGGTTTATGTTTGAATATTAAGAATTTTGTCATGTTTGATTAATAGATTAGTACTTGAAACACACCTCCAGGACAAATATAGTACCATTGGTACTATATTTGCTGATGCTTGGATCATTTTTGCTCGTAATCAGACTGTTTGCCAGAATTTATCCCCAATCTCATACTTCTACAAGGTGTGAATTAGAAGTAATGACTCGCTTCAAAACGCTGTAACTTTGAAAAAATTATACATAATTTCATTAAATTACACGTGTTAGGCATCCATACTCATCAGCAGTACATGGACCACTTATCAAGCAACATACCTGGTGGGCTGCCACCTCTTGAGAAAAGAAATAGATGTGTCAGATTGTTTTTCTATTGAGACATCCTTACAACGCAAGACGCGAGGGGAATTGTGGAAGCCAGTGTCTACATGGAAATCAATCGTACGTCTGAGCAGAACGTTTGATGAAACAGGAATATGGTTGGGCAATAAACGTCCTGGTAACGCCGAAAAAATCATACATCATGGAAAATGTGGCACATGTTGCTGAAGCGAATAACCTGAGCCGTACCGAGGGACTGCAAGCGGTGCGTCCGCACAGGGCGCCAATTGGCCGCCAAATCACTATAAAATTTGAATCAAAGCGTTTAGCGATATAGAGAGAGGGGGGGGGGGGGGGGCTGGATTGACATTCGCACAGGGCGCCAAATATCCTCGGAATAGCGCTGAATAAGCCCTTTGCAATCGTCAGGTCGTGTTTTCACTAACGATCTTACCAGGGTACACACGCTGGAATTTGTCTGGTTCATGTTGTAGATTCCAACTTGCCCATCCACAGAACCATGTTTACTTGATGTTCTGATGTCAGCATTTTTTGTCTACTTCAAACTTATCTGAGAAACAAAAAATGTTGGCACTAATTTACTTGAAAGCAGATTAACTTACATTTTACCGATCCAAAAAATCTTACTTCAATCCAAAATCACAAGGGTGTTTCAAAAGTAATGTCACTATTTATTTCGAGTTAACCGTTGCATATATGAGGTTTTTAACGGAATATTAGTGCTTAGCCATGTAACCTATATGTGTCCTAGTTTTCTACATTAGCTCCGTCACTATCCATGCATTTTCTCCTGAGTTTAACGAGGCGTTCAAGTCTTCACGGTAAAACGATGTAAACGAAAATAATGCCTGACTCCCCGAGACTCAGTATTTCTTGAAAATGGGACTTGATCAGTAAAACTTTTTTTCTTTTACTCTACCCCTGATTTACTGATTCGATTCACAGTTGTCACGTATCTTGAACAAAATCCTCGAATCACACTTGCTATCTGTCTGGCGTGTTTCAGCGTAAGTCGGCGTAACATTAACTGGTAATGTGAATTCGAATGCCCGACTAGCTCTTACTTCAGGCAGGGTGCCTACGGACGTGCGAGAGCTAGCTTCGTAGGAAGTGCTTGTTCATACGCAGTGCCAACGGTGAGGCTAGCCACCCCACCGGCATATGAACAATATACCAGGCCCAGGAAGGACCACTTTTAATCCTCAAGGAAGCTGAACAAGCTCGTTTGTCATAGTCAAGCCTTCAACCCCTTCCTTACCTCTCCTCAAAATGCGACTTCTCAAGAAATGCTTGGCTTCCAAGCCCGCCTTTATAGCCTTTTTTATGACTGTTCAGTTTCATGCTGGGCTGTTGCAGGCTTTGACAGGCTATTTTAAAAAATGACACCCCATTACAGGTCCATGCCGCCTGGTCCTTTCAGATTATTTCTATCCAGAACAAGCACATACTAGCAAAACTGGACTGAGACTGCGAGGAAGAATACTCGGCTCAAGTCTGCCACCATGCTGATTGTCCGTGAACGCTGGACTGAATCTACATCTCCCAGGTAGGATGCTAAACTGGCACCAGTGGTTGCTTCTCGGTAAAGTCCACAAGCCGTTCAATGGCCTATGCACAAACCATAGTACAGTTCTGAGGTGCTGTGGTTACCGGTTATTCCTATGCGTTGTCTATGGGCCAGCGGAGGCCTCATGGCCCTGGATTCACCACGATTTTGAGACCGGATTTCGCTCCTTTTGAAAATTATCAATTGAGAATTAATCAAAATTTTCTGAGAGTGCCTTCGGAAGCTCGACAGACTTAATGAATATTTCAAAATCATACGGGAAAGTGTGCACTCCAAATAATTTATTTTTATTATGAGGTTTGGTTTCCCCTGACGAGTCGCCGCTATGCGCATCATTTCATGGAGAAGTTTCCTGCTTCCCCGAGGACATCTGGTGAGAGCTGGATGAAGGTCTCGATAGACGTTACTTCCCTGCCTGCCTCGACTTTATGCTTCATGGATCATTCAATTCCTGGGAGAGGAATGACTACCTACATACCTGCAAAAGTGGCAGGGAGACTTGACTGTTAGTTTCAGGCGCGTTTGCCAGTCAGGATGACTCAACATTTGCTACGTGGAACTTTGAAGGGAAGCAGCGATCAGCGAATAGGGCAACACTGTGTTACTGCCTGGCCGGGAGAGACGCGAAAATGGTGTCCATCGTCCTACGAAGTCTTTCGGTGCTTCTTGGCACATTCTTCATTTTTGTTGGCCTCATGAAGCTAACGCCTCGGGTCAGCAAGGAAATGTACCGAGAAATTGTAAGCTTCTACATCACATCCTCCTCCTCTCGTCTAATCAGCTTAAAGGCAGAGTTATCGGGCTCGAAAATGCCGGGACTATGAGTGACGAGCTCGGTTGCATAGGTTGATTACGATTGCCGAGAACTTGATTTTTTTTACGGATGACTTGTTTCCTGCCTTAATGCAGTGAATTCGTTTTGACTTGATACGATTCTGGATTCATTTATTCTTACAGTTCGAATTTGCGTTTTGTTGCAAGCCTCATGCATGCCAATGCCCAAATAAACTTTGTTGGATCTGTCCCAAAATGGACGAACATGATTTAGAGAAATATAAAGTTTTTCTGAATTGTCCTCATGGAGTTATGTAAGGTTAGCCTATCAATAGCCTACCTACATTAGTATTATGAACTAGTGGTTCAGTTAGGCACATGAGTGATTTCTTGATTATGAATGACATGGAAGTATTTTCTATCGTGATTAACTGCTTAGATGTTTGTCACCATTATTTTTTTGCCATCTATCTATATCCAATCTAAACATGTTTTTGCAAGATTAAATGTCCATAATTGTGTGCTTGATGAAATGCCTTCAATTATAGGGTACAAGAATAGGGATTTCTGCTGTATGTTTTTTTTTGGAATCAATGTAGAAGTGATTTAACGTTTAAATTTTATTTTATTTATTCATTTTTGTATGCATGGTTTCCTTTTTCATGCAATTGTTCTTTTCCTTTGACAATGAAATCTTCTAAATCTACCCCTAAAGAAGGTGGTAATTAAGAGAAACCAAGGTTGACATCAAAATTTTGAAAAAAATACCAAGCTCATCAGAAAAAGTTAAGATTTAGAGCCAAAAATGGTTTAAAAGTTGAGGAAACCTTGGAATTTCAACCAGTTTTGAATGGCACAGTAGTGGGCTTGGCATTTGGAATTAAAATGCCAAGATTTTTTAAACTAAACTAATACCTCACTGCATGTAGGAAGAGGGGCTGACAGTAATATTTTGCGTATTTTCTGGGCCGGGCTTAAGTGATATGTATTCGTCATTCGGATGATCTCCATTTTTTTAAATCATATTCTGGACAGAATCTGTTGGATTCCCAAGATTACTAGCCAGCCCTAAAAGTCAGCTTGGTTCTTCAAAAAATCTCCATTTGGACCTTGGTGTTGGGTCATCTTCCATTATGTAACCCATAATATTTTTTTTTCTTAGAGGGGGGGCAAGGGAGCAGCAGCAGAGCCAATGTTTTGGATAGTGGAAAAAGTGAGGGATGGAGTACTTGCAGGTGTTATTCATTAATGAAGTCCTCACACCAGCCTGGTGATAACTCTCCCCCAAGTATCATTCTAACTCTTTTTTTCTTTTGCTTAGTGTTTTTTCTTCTTGCATGAAATTAGCTCCTGTTTTGGGGGAGGGGGGAGGGAGGGAAAACTTTTGGCTGTGCTTATACTTTCCATGTGCCCATTAGTGCCTTTTAGGCCTTGATTTATATCTACATATGGTTGGGGTGATAGATATTTAGTATAGTCATTTTAATAGACATTTATGTTTTGCATTCAGTGATAATGTTGGATGTAGTCATTGATACAGATAGAAACTTTGTTTCTTGGAGCTTGAAGTAAGCTGGAGCTTTTATATTATAATACATGATGCAATTATGATATCATGGAATCTGACATAGGACTGTCTTGTGTGGGTCTCCTCTATAGCAATCATCTACAAATGATACAGGTAATGCTGTTAAAATTTGATATGTGCAGCAGATGTATATCATACATCAGGCATGAGCATTTTGCCATTAGTGGAAATGTTTGCTTAGGGTTGCAGTGCTTATTCCATGTTTGTACACCACGGTTCTTTGAATTTAAGGCTATAGTCCTGATTCTGTTTCCTGATATAATTTATCGAACTCTGATTTTCAGCGGAAGGACTTTGTGAAGTATGCCAAGGTATTTCCAATGGCAAACCTGACAGAACTGAAAGTTCCTGTGAAATGGTATCGCAGAATTGTTGGAGGTGCAGAAGTTGCCTGTGGTATAGCAATGGCTGCAATTCCTCATGGTATGTCATGCCATGAACCGATATCAAGTACCCTAATTTAGTAACTTGGTAATTTTTTTTCATTTAGAATTGATTATGAGAGATATATGTACTTTCTTTGACAGAGGCCACAAAACTTATGGCAAATGTGATATTGCTGCTGCTCACCACCCTCATGGCATATTCACACTATGCCATTGATGACAAGTTTGAGAGAATCGCCCCATCTTTGGTAAGTTTGATTTATCCATGGTGTGCATTATAAAGGCCATTTTATTCATGAATTTATTATTTTCAATCTTTTGGTGTTCCTTATTGAGGATGATCTTGTTTCTCTCTGTTTTCAGGTGTTTTTTTTCATGCTGTCCTGTCGCTTGATAGTGGCCTGGCAGATATCCAAGCGGAAGCGGGCTGAGGTTGAGAAGGAAGCAGCCAAGGTGAACGGGAAGAAAGATTGATGACCCTCTTGTGTTAGGCTCTCAAAATGACAGCAAGGAACCAATGCATCTCAGATCATATCAAGGGAAACATGCAGCAATTGTGATTGACAACTCTATTCTCTCATGTGCCATATGGCAAATTCATGCACCAAGGGATTGGACTGAATTTTATTCTTGAGTATTTAAAAGTTTCCCTTTGACTGAATTCATCAAATATGGATTGAACTTTTAATATTGTGGGCCATCACCAGCACTGCTTCCAGGTTTCCTTTTTCTTCCCTTGCTTTGTCTAAGTGAAAGCATGGATTATGTTTTTACTCATCTCATGAGACAAAAAATATGTTTAAAAATAATACTCGGATGCTACACAAAGTTTAGTACTGGAATTTTGCATCTTATGGGAAGATGAAGTGACATCTATGAAGTTAAGCATTAGTACAACATGGATTGCAGGAACTAGGGCTGTGGCAGTTTTGAAATTGATGTATTGTGCTGTATCATTGATACATCATCATTGAACATTGGTGGTGGGGAAGAGATAGAACAAAAATGGCCCTGGGCTAGGATTTATGGCTTTGTGGGAGAACCTTGCACAAACTGCAGTCTCATGTAGGGAGGGGCCTAAAGCCAGCACTGGTGGATAAGGGAGTTTATGTTCCTTTACCCTCCAATATGGCTGGCTGCCAAAATACCTGTCTCTATCTCCTTCCTCTTTCTCTTGAGCCCCACCCCCTCTCATTTTCTTCTCTTTTTTAGGGGGCTCAACTTATTCACATTTCCTGAAAATTGTTTCTTGTACTTTTCTTAGTCTGCCCAATCCTTTGGGTGAATTCAAATATTGTGTATGTGCTTTGTGTTAGTGTTTGGTGTTACTGTAACAAACATTGACATGATGCCCTCCTAATATTAGTCTGGCACAAGTGCTACTGGAATCCTCTTTATTACTCTTATTGGGTATAACTAATCCATTGGGATTATTAACACTAGTTCTATTTCAATATTGGCGATATTTTTCCAGTGACAGTTAGACCATGTTTTTGAACATTATGGTTCAAATCCCGGCTGTCCAAGTGAGATTCAGATCACCTGAATCTGAATTGATGGGTCTAGATCAGCTAGTCACGAGATGGTTCAAGGTATTACCTTGCTAATGACATCATTTCAGTCTTGTTCTGCATCGTGCAATGTGAAAGATGGAGTAACATGAAGTTGGTATTGAGAATCCAAGAGAAATTAGAATCCTAGTAGTACATGAAGTTGATGGGAATGCCTAATAGCATAAGCCACGGAATGTCAATGGCAACCAGAATGCATCATTACTACCCTCACAAAAACATGATATCCCATAAAATTTTTGCAATGTGACTCTGTTTCTGAAGGAATTGTTAGATTCAGACTGCTGATTTTCTTTTAAATCCCTGTTATCAATCCTCATGAGTCTTGCTTGTGACTGCATCAGTGATTCTGAGGGTTTATCAGCAGTAAAAAGGAATCGTTTCTCATCTTTTTTATGTGTGCATTGTGGCTTGAAGGCAAGGAGTCATGGAGCCATGCTCCTCTCATCATTTTATAAATGACAATTGTCTAGATGTCTGGGTTGGCAATTAAGGAGCATAGAAATGAGGACCACTAGAGTGACAAAGAGGTTGCCCCAACAACCAACCCCCTTAATGAGGCAGGGCCAGTGGTAGTACATTAAGTGATATCACAGGAAAGGTGAGGAGTGGTTCAGGGGCATTCAGTTAGCTTTGTACCTGGCAGTGTGATGTCATCATGAAGTTCTGCCTTGAGCACATTTTTCATGGGCATTGTGCAGGTTGCAGTGGATTGAAGTTCTTTTGCCATTATCTCTGATATCTTCTTTTTCATGACATCACTTCCTTTTCTCATGAGATGAACTGTTGCTCTAATTAATAATTCTCAAAAATTCCTTCTTTTTTTAAGTATGGATGGTTATTCCAGACAATTTTCAAAATTCCCTATAAGTGTGCCTTGAAGTTTTGGCATAAACATACATTTACAAAACGTGAATATCTGTATTGTTTGCAACATTAAGATGGTTGAAGCAAAAAGTTGCTGCAATTGTTGGAGTGATAAATACCACAATTGCAGTGATGCCTTGGATGGCAATTACCTACCTGGCTGGTTTCCATCATGTTCTGGTTCTCTCCCATGGTGGAAAACAGTGGCAGCCTCCCTCTCACCCAGTAATGCATTCACCTTGGAAAGATGAAGCATGGGAAGATCTTTCACTCCAAGACTATTTTTGATTTCCCTCTTAGTGTCTGTACATCACTTTGAACCCTTTGTGACTGAGTTCATCCTGACATATACAAGTATTCATTATTTTACTGAAAGCATTGTTTTCCCATGTTATCTCACACGGCTTGATTCATGTCTTTAGGGGGGAAATTGCACTCTAGTCACATATCTGATCACTTAGACTGAGCATTCCAAGAATTCTGTCCTCATTTTAGTAGATGTTGTCTCTAGCATCATCCCAAGAAATGTGATATGTCATAGTTGGTTCAAATTGGACTTGCTCACTCCTTCCTGTTTTTGTTTAAAATGACAGGGTAAAGTTGCAAAATATGATCTGTGGCAAAGTTTCTGAACTCTTCCCAGTGATTTGGAGTGAATCTTATTTTTTTTCTTTGATGAAATAACTGACCCTTGTTGGGAATGCACAGTGTGGTTCCAACTTTATTGCAACTACCAAAAATGATTTGGTTTTGGTTTTCCTTAAATGCAACTCACTGGACATTTGAAATGAACTAAAATTGAAAGGCAGCACAGAAACTAAATTTTGTCCAGATTTAAGCTGAAACAAAAACCCTTCATCCCCCACTGAAACCACACTGAACTGAAATTCATGTATGGAAATAATTGTGTATTTTTCAATGCCAACAGTCAGTATACTCTCCATTCTCTCCATTACTCATTTTGTATCATCACCTGCAGGCTTATGAAGTTAATACCTACAGAGAAGCATATTTGAAGAGTCTTAGCTGCTATGATTTCTTGAAATCTGAGATCTTTGTCATGGCATACACATGTTCTTGCTGATCAGTGATGATGCATCTTTGGCACATGAGTGCATATCTGAGCCCCTGCTGTCTACAGATTTGTGTTTTTCATATGAAAAAATGGAAACCTCTACCCATGGTAAGAAGCTGTGATTTGAAATGTGACAGCTTCATGACTGTAACTCCACTCTATGCAATGTTTCTGCTTAATTTCTTATGCCTAATTTCTGAAAAAAAAAAAACCTTGTCCCAACCTTGGTCCATGATGGAAAAGTCTTTATAATTACAGCTGAGGCTCAGCTGTAAACTCCTGCCTAGATTGTATTATCACACATTAAGCTACAGAAGCTGCAGATTATGGGAAATATGTAATATTTAGGTACTGTATCATTCAAAATTCACTGGACTGTACTAGGAATCTCTGCACATGATTTTATTCAATATTTAAAAGAAAATAAATCATGTTTGTTTCTGTTTGATTTTTTCATTGTTTCATTGTGGTATTCCATGCCATCTTGGAAGCTGCCATGTGTTTCATGTGTAGTATCTCAGAGGTCTTTGGTATTAAATTTACACTTTTGGTTTGGAAGCTGAAGTGTTTCAGTCATCCATGATCCTGATAAATCCTGCAGGGAATCTACTTGTGACAAGGAATCAATTGGATGAATAGGCAAGGGAAACTAGTCCCTCAGCAGATAGGGTAAGCACTCCGGTTTGTGGCCGGTCTCCAGTTGTTGGCCAGTGAGGCTTATATCCTGCATAATTAGTTAATCTGGCTGTTTTCAATCATTCTATCAACATCTTCCCGTACGAGGACCGATTACTAGTGTTTCCCGGTGTGTGCACAGGGTGTCCACTTCCTATGGAAGCCGTATCTGCGTGACCAAAAACTGGGGTGTTTACCCTTCTGGAGAACGTGGACGTGGATCAAGTTAAGGAAACCCCGCCGTTCCTTGAAAATCTGGGGAGTTTATTGAACAGGATGTGTCATTACAGTTTTTATCTGATTGGAAAGAAAGTGTAAATTTAATACCAAAGACCTCTGAGATACTACACATGAAACACATGGCAGCTTCCAAGATGGCATGGAATACCACAATGAAACAATGAAAAAATCAAACAGAAACAAACATGATTTATTTTCTTTTAAATATTGAATAAAATCATGTGCAGAGATTCCTAGTACAGTCCAGTGAATTTTGAATGATACAGTACCTAAATATTACATATTTCCCATAATCTGCAGCTTCTGTAGNTAACAATCCTACAAGTTTCATTCGCTTCTTTCTCGCCATTTCTTTCCAACTGAGCGATTTTACAAAATTAACTATTTTTATTTTGCATTGGAGAAGGATCGGAGGGGAGGAGGCTGGTGCGCGTTTAATTTCGCGTCAGTGCTCCTTTGGTTTGTCCGTGACATTGGCACTCTGTAGAAGACAGAGCAGTTATTAAGGAGTTGCCGTATACCGGTATTTTCATCATACCGCGGTATTTGGTTCTCGCGATAATCATGCCAACCCCTTCTACATTTTTCGGTATTATCGCCACGGTATGAAAACCGTGTTCATACCTTCGTCACGGCATGGAAACCGTAAGACACCGCCTCTCTTCATACTGCCGCCATGGCGCTACACCCAGAGTCATTTCTAAAAATTAAATACTTGGTCAACTACAGGGTCTTTTTTAAAGTCGCGCAACCCTGTATAAACAAGTGTTGTAGCAATGTTGCTGTTGGAATGTATGCACATCAACTCTTGTATTACGTATTGTTTGTCCCTTGTTTTTCACAGAAACTGTAAATGCTGAACATTATCAACACATCATTTAGCAATATGTCGCCATGTTAGAAATTGACGAACGTGACTCGTGGTTTCAACAAGACGGAGCAACAGCTCATAAGCAAGAATCTCTGACCGCCATGGTCTCCAGACCTGACTATTTTCTGTAGGGATACTTTAAGGAAAGAGTATACGCTAACAATCCAAGAGACTTGGAAACGTCGAAGCAAAACATTACACAGGCCATTGCTGGCATTATTTGTGCGACCTTACATCATGTTTCTGCGAGCATGCGCAAGCGTGTTGTACGTTTGGTAATGTGTTTGCATGAACGCAATGGTCACTTCCAACACTTGTTATGAAACTTTTTTAATAGGTGAGATGTGTTCCTTAAGCCAGTTTTGATTAGGTTCTCAATTTAAGTTACAAAAAACGAATGTTATACTGTACATGATGGGTTGCGTGACTTTTAGAAGACTGCATGTTCCCCATCTCCATCCACGGGGATGGAGATGGGGAACATGGTTGACCCACCCCCCGGGGAAAACCGAAGCCTTTCTGGAAGTCACTGGAGTGTATTTTATCCGGACTCAAGGACTAAGATCTGCCATTTGTGGGTACACTTGCGCTTTGACTGTGCTGAGCACTCAATATCAATATTAAACGTGCGGCCATGCATAATAATAAGATGGTCTTTCTTTTATGATGCTTCTTTTTTCCGAGATCCATCATTTGAGTCCTCCCAACAACTTTAATTGCGGTATTATTCCTGGGCTCGCCTACTGAATCCATCCATTTGGGTTGAAACGAACGAATCTCCAGGAACGCACAAATCCCAACGGGAAATTGCGGGACTTAAGAGTGAGTCTCGTATTCAATGGATTCTCAAGAGTCAAGGGAAGAAAGTCTTCAAAAGAATTGTCATTCCCAGTGTGAATAACGATGCCATCAACTGATGGAAAGTTCTGTGCTGACTGCTGTACCAGCGCTACACAAAAGAGTCGGTGAAATGAATCACTTTCACTAACGAAAAGGACTTGATTTTAGAAGTTCCCACTAACCGCCAGGACAGGGTGTACGGAGAAGGGAAGAAACGACCCTTCTTCCGATCGACTTTACCATCACAAGTCGAGGTTCTCCCAAACAGTTATGAAAATTGCAGAAATCAATTGGAATGGGAAAACCGACCTCTTCTTCATCGACCTACAGCGAACGAAGTTGAACTCGGCTGTTTACATCGACGTGCTCGGGAAAGACCTTCCATCCTGTAGGACAGGGGTTCTTAACCTGGGGTCCGTAGAGGGTCCATGGAAAATTAAATACATAATTGAAGGTAGCTCCCGAAAAACATCATTTATAATCACAAATCCAGGTGTTCCAAAGTTTCTGATAACCGGGGGCTCATATGAAAGCATCCAAAAAAATGTTCAAAATTTTATATACTTTTTTTTTTACTCCTGTGATGATCACTCCTGAAGGGCACCTGATGATTCAAAGTTATCGGTAACCCGATTTAGAGAAAGAAACGGAAGTTTCAGAGTTCAGCAATCTGGGAAAAATTCCTGCTTCAAATCCAGCTTCCTGTCTCATGGTGCAAAAAGATTAAGGCCCGAATGTACAAACCTCATTTAGGAGAGATAAAGGGGCCTTTAAGCTAAAGAGCTCTTTTGGGAATGCATAACCTCTCTTTAACAAAAACGTCCGTTAACATAAACGAGGTTTAAGCTAAAGAGCCCTTTTAGAATGCACAAACTACTTCTAACTTGAAGCTCCTTCAGGACCAGAATTCTTCCACTTCCGCCTTGCCAGGAATCTTCTTCACTTCTATGGGTTTCGCTCCCAGTTCCCTGTAGAATAGCTTCTGGTTATTCGTGAAGCGCTCGTTATGCCGGAAGTAATTGACCTTTTTCGTGTACCGCCTTATTCTCAGGGCCCAAGCTTGGATCTTCATCTTCACATTCTCTATGGCGGTCGGGAGATCGGCATCGGAAGAATTCTGGTCGAACATCATGGAACGCCCGGCGAGCCACAACGTCGATGCCACATGGCTCCGACGTCAGAGGGAGGTAACAGATACTCCCGAAATGAGTGATCCCCAGATTACAACATCTGAACTGCAGAAGGCACTCAAACAAACAGCGAACTGGAAGAGCCCCGGGCACGACCGTCTTCCGAACTTCTGGCTGAAGCAATTAGCATCATTACACGAACAACTCGCCAGAGAAATGCAGAAGGTAGTGAATTCACTTTCCGGGACGTGTTTCCCTTCTTGATCTCTTGAAGGGTACTAAGGTCTCGCCTTGCTGCATCGATCCGACTTTGGAGGCGCCTCTTCCAAGGTGGAATCGAGGAAGGGCCCTTTCCGGGTTTTGGGGTCGGCTTTTCTGGTCCTTGGTATTTCTGATGGATGGTAATGGCAGCTGCAAAGGCACGGTGGTTCAGCTCAGTCAGATCGCAGTCTGCAAGGTCGCAGGAGCTGATGATCTGGTTGATCTCCTCGATGTCTTTGGAGATGGCAAGGTTGAGCTTTAGTGGTCGTAGTCGGGGTCGGTCGGACATCTGTAGGTACCGCAGATCTTCCAGATGGTCGAGGAAGGCGATTCTGAGTTCTTCGGATGGCGCTTCTAGCTCTGAAGGAGCCTCGAGAGCCCTCGGTGGAACCTGAAGTGGAGCCTCTTCAGGTGTTGCCTCCTCGTTTGCGGGTACATTACACTCTGGTTTGTCTGGCTGGAGGGTGTTCAGGACATCCTGTTTGATGTTTTCCCGCTCCAGTTCTGAGAGCATGTTGTTCCGCTCGATATATAGTCTTTGATTCGCAAGTCGTTGCTCGTTGATATTCAGCTCTGAGTAAGATTGATTCCAGAGCTCGAGCATTTTCTTCCGGTACGCTCCTGGCGCATCGGATCGTGCTTGATAGTAAACCCGCATGACGTCAATGTTCATGGATTTTGTCCATTTCATACGTTTCCGTGCGGGGGGCATATTTTCTGTAGCAGAGGAGGGTTGACTATCAACCCCGGCCCCTGGGACAGAGCTGGGACTTTCACCAGTAGCCCTTACTCCCACTTCTGCCTGGTGTGGAACAGGAACGTGAGAGCCTCCGGACGCCCATATATATATATATATATATATATATATATTTAATTCCGACGACGACATGATGTTTTGAAACGGTATGACCACGCCGATGTCTGGAGGACCCCCCCCCCCCACTTAAGATTCCAGGACTAGCGCATAGGCCCTCACTTTGCTTGCTAGGGTCACTCGCCTAGTCTAACTACCTACTCCCTAGGAATTTTAAAGATATGAAACTCCAGGCTCGGACTCGCTGGCAACGAGCAATCCGAAGCCCACCAAGACACTCCCTTTCGCGAGTATTTGCGAGAGGGGATGTCGTCTTGGGATTCTCGTGAGTACTCGCCGATTCATTCCCACTGTCAATCACAACGTATACCCGACTGTATTCGAAGAACCAGCGGTTCACCTTCGCAACTGATAATGGGGGGAGGGGGTGTGTAGAGAGATAAAGCTAGCTTTTTTGGGATCTAGGACGAAACCAGTTTATGATGGACTAAAGAAAAGAAAGATGGACAGAAAAATGCAGACAAACGCCAATTAAGGCAGATTGTGCAGAGGTCAGCTCTGAGGCAATGACAAGTAAGCAATGTTCTGTGGTTACTCAGGCATGCACAATTATTCTGCTGCTTTCCTTTTTTTTTTTCAAAGGTGATGCTCACGATATTCAAAACCCTTGTGGACAATAATAAAAATAGTAAAGAAAGTAAAATTTCCGTTCTCGTTTGGTCCAACCGGAACCTCTGATCATTTTTTGGCAAAATTATTTTCTTAGGGTTGGCTTCACATTTCGCTCACAAACGAATCCATTTCATAATCATATAACATACATATCACGAGGGACCTAGATACTATTGGTCAGTGGATTGTTTATAAATCCATCGCTGTTAAGAACTAAGTGAATAACTATTTTCTTGGAATCATCTCTTCGGCTACGTCCCTCTCACGTGTCCATTTTCAAACGTTTTCCAAGACGATTTCATGTTTTCCGTGATTTTTTTTTTTAGGGAGTTGGAAAATGGTGAAGAGAAAAGTGGAAGACAGGCGACAGACGACAGACCGATTTTGCGCATTTCACGTCCTTGAGATCGACGAATTTTAAATTTTGGAAACGGTTCGTGGGTGCGCTTTCGTCTCTCTCATCTCCCCCTTCACGTGTTCGAGCATATCGGAACACGTATTCGAGTCGTTGTCATCGGCGACGGATGGTGTATATATTTGAGGGACGCGTTTCACACGAGCCACTGGCTTCCTGAATCCATCATGAGATTCCAGACCCCGAGATTCCGGTGACTCCCCTGGTGGAAAGACATCGCGCGGCGGTGGTGCGCTTCTGCGTTCGGTGTCCGTCGGAGGCGATCGCGATGGTTTCCGAGAGGATGCGGTGGGCTTCCCACATCTTCCCCTTATGGAAGAGCTGGGTCGTGATCTTCGTCCCGCTTCTGGCTCTCCCTTTTCTCTTCGTCCCTGATCAGCGAGTGGTAAGTCTCTATCTCCCCCCCCCCCCGAAATGAATTTTTTTTAAAGGTGAGCCATCATCATCTACCGAGAATCCATGCAGGGAGGAGCACACTCTTCAAATTTGTTGGCGACATTTGGGGTTAAAGTGGTCACGAGTGACCTCCTCTTGCAAACTGTGCCCACGAATTGTTTCATTTTGGTATTGTGGTGATGAATAGGAAAAAATAATTGCTACATTTTCACTGATTTTCCCCGTCCTATTCCCTCGAGTTCCAAGCCCAAGTTAGAAAGAGTATGACCCATGATATGAAAAGCCTTAAAATCCACACAGAATATTAAAGTAGTTAAACGAGAGCACTTTACCTTTAGTCTCAGGCGAAGTCCACGTTCGCGTAAAGCGAGAGAAACATACTGTTAGTCTCAACATTGGCCCAGGTCAATTGTAAGCCTTAGTTGCTTTGAAATATACATATATATTTTAATTTACAGGTGATGCAGTCATATTTCAATCATTCTTCTGTCGTTTTCTGGTCAGATTTCAGTCCATGCCAGCAATTCCTTTTCCTGTCATGTTCACTGTTTAGGCAATATTTTGACAAAGCGGAGTTCTTACAAGTGAAATTACAAGTTGATTCAGGAGGAATTAGCATCTCTCGCTCCCATATTGGCCCTTTGGGATATGGATAAAATTGCGATTGCATCTTCTTTTTTATTGGTTCCTTTGGAAACGACGCAGGAGTTGCTTCTAACGATCGACTTCCTTCTGTTTGGACGCTGAAGACAGTTGTCGATAGGTCATCCCCTAAAAATCACTCAGGTTGGGATATATATTTGCAATTCTTTGCACAGAACTCCCAGTGCAGCCGGGAATTTCTCCCTCGTTGCAGCCAGGTTCACTTTCCCGAAGGTCATGAATTTCTTAAAGATTTTCTCGCGAGCCCACGAAACGCGCTTTTCTTCTCCCCTCCCCTTTTCCAGAAGAAACTCGATGCTCTAATAGCGAAACTCTGGAAAAATTTCGCCCCAACCTCTAGAAATATATAGGAATGTGGAAACCCCGAAGTAATTCCTTCCAGCAAAATGAGGATAAAGGACGTTACACATTTTGTGTGTCGTGCGTCCTTTGCTCGGATGCTTCGGGCAAGTGAGCACACGCACGCGTGCACACTCCCGTCCACTAACATTCCGGGGTTTTCATGAACGGGTGCGTCTGTGCTCTTCAGCGAAACGTTCTTTAAATTTTATTCAACTGCTCGAGAATGAATTAGATATTGCGAATGATGGGAAGCATGGTTTTAGACTTAGATGAACAACTAGAGCTGCTTGATGTGTCGACAGCAAAAAAAAAATCGCAACGTGGAACTGCGTTGTTATTGATAACAGAGACATCTTTGTTATCGACGACGAAATGGCAATCGATATTAATGTCGACATGATTGCCTCATTTAGATGGGGATAATTTCCTATTCTAGATAGTGACTTCATATCGTTCAGGGAAATCTAGAAAATCTCGCTTTCCCTCCCGTTCTGACAGGGGAAAAAGTTCGCGAGTAATTAGCGACTCTTAGGTCGTAACATGGTTCCACGTCGTGAATGATCCTTCCCTTGTTCCTCCGTCAATTCCGTCAGATAAAATGGGCAAAGAAATGGGGAAATTTTTTCCAAGAAAACAAAAAAAATTGGGTTTGAAAGTTTCGACCCTACTTGCACTGCTCAAAATTATTTCTTTTTGCAAGTTTGCATATTAATAGAATTACATATTACTTCAGGTCACATTTATAGTATTATTTATACATGCTCACCTATTCTTGGGTAAACATGTAAAATAATGTCTCAAATTATATGCAATGAAATCCGGTTCGGATCGAAGGTAAAAAAGTATCTAAAAAGTATCCATAAAGTATCTAAATCGAATCGCAATTGACAAAAATTAAATTTAAAAAATCGCTAAAGATAGATTGGCAAAATACGGTCTCAGACATCTGCAGGTCGTCGTAAATGATGTCGCATGGCAAGCATTCTCAATCGTATAGTCGTATAATCGTAAAGTATTCCATGCCCTTCGTGCACAACTACGAACACATCATTCCGTGCATAAAGGGTTTAGCAATATAAACCCTTTCCGCGTTTCGTTTAGTAAGTAGAGACAAATAAGGTATTTATAGGTACATCTCAAATCAACACGCAGTTAAGACATGGGAACTCGCTTCATGAAAATTTCTTTAAATACCTTGCAAGCCGAATCATCGATCGGCGTTACCGATGTTAACCAATTTTCCGATAACCTGGTGATTCTATTTGCTTAAGGAGTCTGAAAAAATTGTTGCGCAAAATTTTCTCTCATGTGAAAAAATTCACCATGTGGACGAGAGAATGGATACGAAGGTATTAAGTCGGTTTTTATAAAGTACCACCCGATATCGCTTGATCAAAACTGTTTTGAGGTTATTTTGAAGGTTCTTTGACAGATATTCGCGAGCCCATCCCCCTCTTATTTTTTTTTTTTTACCGAGTCCGCCAGATGATGCATGTCGATAGGATGCGCTGCAGTATCATGAGGAAAGGTAAAACTCGAAGGGGTTGAAATGAGTAAACATATGAGTTGGGTATGGTATATATGGTGAGTATGGTAAGAAAAAAAAAAGTTCATCGACCTGTCAAATACCAGATGCTTACTTCAAGAGATGCAACCAAACAATGTTCGATGGATTCCTCACAATAAAGTGCACATAATTCCAAAATGAGAGAGAGAAAAAAAGACATGAGCGGTGGAAGCTAGAGCGCGTGTTCCCGCCCGTATTCTGTGCACCACTTTAGTCTTGGTTTTTTTTTTTACCGAATGAGAACGCATTTCGTAACCACAGGGTAGGGCCACAAAAGTTAATTGAAAATGATTATTTTCTTCGTTTCAGGGTAACATTGGGTAATTATCATGTTTCAATATTCGGTTGAGGAGCGTGTATGAACTGTCAGACACTATTTTTGAAGCCATGGATCAGGCCAAAATAATTCAAATGTGAGTATAAATAAGTAAAGTCATCCTCAATTAGATCGGGTACCTTATTTTGGCCCACCCATGTGCACAAGCCTAGGTGCAGAAACATAGTGAATGATTTTATTACAGTATAGTGCAATAAATGTATTCTTAGATAAAATGCATTATACATGGTAAATGGGTTGGTCTTTCTGTGCATTCCAACCGATGATATCTTCTCTAATGGATGATTGTCGGCGAAGTTAACCAAAGGGTTTATCCCAGCTATCATTGAAAACCAATCCGGATTGCATGGAATTGGACTTGCAGATGGAGGGAAGGTGTGCATATGCCGTCCTCGTCATGGTGGCATTCTGGATGACGGATGCCATACCCATGGCCATCACGTCCCTCATGCCGGTCTTTCTCTTCCCCCTTCTCGGGATACTTGGTACCTCTGAGGTCTGCAAATTGTACATCAGGGAGAGCATCATGATGTTCCTCGGTATGCCACCATCTCTTCCCTGGCCATTGTCTGCTCAGAAGTTACAGTCGAAGATTGAAGTTTGCTGATGTACAGGAGGCATCATGGTCGCGCTTGCGGTGGAGCACTGCAACTTGCACCAGAGGGTCGCCCTCAGGTTCCTCCTCTGGATAGGAACTTCCCAGAAATGGTCCGTTTTCATTCGCTATGGTTTCCTCTCTCCCAGCCAATAATTGGTTTCAAGGCAATAGGCATTGCTTTCCGGTTCATTTCATTCAAGTCGATTTGCAGCTGAGTCGATTGCTGATGACGACAATCTCAATAGTAGAAGCAGTCCCAGAATACATTTTGAAAAAGTTATAAAACCGTAGGTTCTTGTGGTAACGTGGCAGGTTGATGCTGGGGTTCATGCTGGCGACGATGTTCCTGTCCATGTGGATCACCAACACAGCAACAACGGCCATGATGATTCCCATCGTGGAAGCAGTCCTAATCGAAATCTACCGCGTAAGGATTCGAATAACGTCTCTAACTCTCTCTCTCTTTCTCCAATGACACGTACGAAGGTCGTTAATTGGTGATACCATACAGAAAGAGACCGGTAACGGGCCTGTGAACGAGTCGCCGCGAAGAAGCAGAGATCTCATTAACTTGCGCCAGAAGGGAGAGCAAACCAAATCCGACGTATCTACCAGTGTCGATTTCCTCGAGATTGAAGAGGAGTGAGATCATCCCATCCATGTCACTCAACTGATTCTACATTATCGCAATGACATCGAATCGCGTCTCATGAAGAGAGAGTGTAATATTTAAGGACGAGATATATCGGGAAAAGTCCCGTTTTCCACAAAAATTGGCAGATCATATGTCAGGAAAGAGAAGAGTGCATAGACTAGGTTGAGAGTGCCATATGAAGAATGTCGCAGGGAATGATATGGAGTGTTGCATTCCACGAATATCGAAGATAAGGATCTAGATCCAATCTTGTTTTCAAATCCGACTGCACCTCGACTCAGAATTGATCATTTTCAAATTCGCAGGCAGGAACTAAAATTCGAAATGACTCAAGACATAAGAAAACATTCATTGAATCAGATTTCAAGCGAGATTAAAGCAAGAAAAAAGGTACCTGTAGAAAACGCGGATGCGGATACATGAGGAGAAGCTTCTAATGAAAGCGGAGACGCAGATTAATCCTTATCGATGTAGCCGCCAACTTAGGTCACTTTAAAGCCTCCAGTTTTCGCTCATACATATAACTTGTGTCGCAAGCTATTAAGAGTTCAGACGAACAGTACATACACGCATGCACGTGATTCCTTCAGTTGGGACTATCACTTTCTAAACTGAAGGAATCACGAGGCACTTATATGCTTCCTAGTGCAGATTTTATACATATTCTAACTTTTTGCAGGAATAACAAATATGATGAAAACGAAAAGTGAAGAATCAATCCCGACTAGCGACAATAAGGGAGGAACCCCCGCTAACGAACTAAGTATGCCTTTATGCCTGAATGGATCCAGAATGAAGCAAAGCGTGGAGGAGAACGGATTGGCGAAATTCAGGGAAGGCTACCAAGAAGCCCGGATTCAAGTCCTGTTGGCCGTGGCTTATTCGGCAGGCTTAGGGGGGACGGGGACCCTCACTGGGTCAACTCCAAATCTTCTCCTTAAAGGATTTGTGGACGAGTATGTCACTTTTTACAAATGCATACCTTCACATACAATTACCTATATCCAGTAGTTTATATTCCATTTTTAGCGTGTTTGTAAGTCTCGTATGTTTGTCTTGATTTATTAGATTCTTCTGGCCTGGGAAGGGATGGGACAAAGGAAAATGAATCATTTTGATTTTCTAGGATGTACGGGTCTGAGACAGGTTTGAATTATGGGTCTTGGATGGCCTTCAGTGTCCCAGGAATGTTACTCAATGTCATCCTCGCCTGGCTTTATCTCCATGGCATTTTCCTCCTAGCCCAGTGAGTGACGTCGTAATTCGATGTACAGATGTCGATATGATGTCGACCGTATATAAGTTCTGGGTGATGCACATAGATGGAGGGAGCGTCGGAAGCATCCAGAGAAAGGTGGGCCGAGTCAAAGTGAAATACGAAAAGTAGAAGTAGCAACTCGTGCTGTGATCGACAAGAAATACAAGGAACTCGGATCCATTTCTTTCCATGAATTTATGACTCTGATCTTATTCATCATCCTCGTCCTGCTTTGGTTCTTCAGAGATCCGCAGTTCATCAGTGGATGGGGCGAATTAATCAAAGGCGATAGGTACGTACACTCTTTCGCTTCAATTTCCTATCCATCTGCCGCTGTGAAGTAATACTTTACATGACATGGACACATCTTTTCCCAGGGGTTTGAAAGTCGGAGATGCAACTCCTTCTATATTCATAGGTTTTCTCTTCTTCATCATCCCTGCAAAACCGAAATTCTGGTGCTTCCGAGAATCATCGGGTAATCTATATCATTTTCCTCTCCCACTTACAACTAACAAACATTGGCATCACATTGTTTTTAAGGGAGTATGTACGTGCCCAATTACATGGAACTGTCTTTCAAGAGCTTTATGAATTAATGAAAGAGTTTTCGGTAGCAAGAGACAATATAGCAAAATTTTTGGTGTAGCTCACGTTGTAAACCAAAACGTTCACGCCACCATAAGCTGTATACAATTCCCTATAATGGAAGTGCAATATTAACGGTATGGGGTTGACAAGTGACGTAACGGGGAAAACATTTTTAACACGTTGGCGACAATGCGTCCTGATGCCAGGATGCAGATTTTTTTTCAATAAATACCCTCTGGAACTGTTGAGAACGTTCCAGAAGATTATGATTTCGTAATTACTGATAAAAAATTCCAAAAAATTCAACATTTTAAAAAAACTCGGCAAAAAAAAATGTTTTCTGGGACCATTCGTCCTGATGGCNATTCAACATTTTAAAAAAACTCGGCAAAAAAAAATGTTTTCTGGGACCATTCGTCCTGATGGCAGGACGCATTTTTTAACAAAAAAAATGCGCGTGGTCCCACGCGGCGGACAAGCAAAAATAGGCTGGTCGTCAACGTGTTAACCCCGGCAATTTCGATGCTCTCTCCCTGATTTGACCATACCATGACGGCATGTGATGTGTGCCTTCGTCCCATGCAGTTAATTTGCATATATGAAGGGCTGAAGGGCAAAGTGGTCTATCTTTCCTCGAGCTCCACACGGAATGAGTGAATATTCCAGTGACCGTCTTGTTAAAAGTGAGAGAAAGTGGTATGTATCGATAGAGCACTTCCTCCTTTACCTAATTTAAAAAAAACTACAATTTCTAGGAAAGGAACAAGGTTTTAAAGCACAAAAACCAACAACACTTTTTTCGGATATTTTTTGCAGATAGACCACTTTGCCTTTCAGCCCTTCATATAAATTCCTTCATTCTAGATAAACTGTCTGAATGGAGCCCGGCCCTTCTCAACTGGAGGATCCTTCACGAGAAGGTCCCCTGGGGGTTGATCTTCCTCGTTGGAGGGGGATTCGCAATATCGGAGGCTTCAAAGGCATCCTGCTTGTCCTATTTCCTAGGTCAGCAGATGGGAAGTTTGGGTTTCATGCCACCAGCACTTCTTGTCTTCATCATCACTCTCATGACGGCCATAATAACAGAAGTGGCTTCCAACACGGCCACAGCTACCATCCTCATTCCCGTCCTTGCCCAGCTTGTACGACTCCATTTCCATTCACTTTCATAACTACCCAAGCAGCATGTTTACGGCAATATTGTATAAATTTCATGTAAATTTTTTGCCCTTTTTATATCTATTTTACGCAAACCTTCATCAACATATTGTCAACATGCTTGCAGAAATGTCACCTCTGCAATACGCGAACGGTGATGTAAAATTGACAAGAATTTACATGAAGCTGAAGTTCCTATTTGCATCACAAACAGCATGTTTATATTAACATTATGTAAAATTCATCTTAATTTTTTGATTAAGGAAAGTATCATCAATTAAGAAAAATCTGGGTTACTCGGATGAGCACACAAGTACCCTCCATTTAAAGTACCCGAAAGTGCCTACCACTCCACTCTTCCGATCTCGGCTTAGCACCCTGAGGGTATAAGTAAGATTTTGAAGTTCTAGTCTGCATAGAAGATAAAGGTTTGACATCTAAAAAGTTCTACATTTCTCCCTTGCTTATTGATGTACACTCAATTATTCCTGTACTGAACTTACACATTTAATAATTCCCTGAATCGTGTATTGCGGTAATAATATCATAGTTCAATGTTTTCCTAATATATGCTCATAAATTGCACAATGACAAGAGCAAAGAGGGGAGAAAGTCCTGATACTATTCAAGGAAAGCACATGCTTAATTGCATTTCTCGTGTGCAGGGAACATGGGTTCCATCTAGTGGGGGCTCTTGGTACTAGAGACAGTCTAGAGTCAGCTTAAGTTCGTATGTATGTTGAGCTATGGGTTTTGCATGAACTTCATCTCATGTATTTTATATCAGGTGAAATCCTGTCTATTTTATATTAAATACACATCCTATTAGGTGAAGTACATAGAGGAATGTAAAGTTCATTTCAAAGTGATATAGTTTAGTTTGCAAAAAATTGATATATTGTTGCCATGAACATGCTGCTTGGGTAGATGGCAATCCCTCGACAAAGGCAATCTTTCTAATGCTGTTTTCTTTTTCTTGTCATGTTTTTCAACCATGTCGAATGCTGGACAAATATATTATTGAAATTACTTGGGAAAGGCCCACAGCTAAATCTTGCTTCATTAGATTTTTCTTTGCTTTATATGCTGTTACGTAGGCGAATGTGGTGAAGATGAATCCTCTGTACCTGATGATGCCAGCGACTGTGGCTTGCTCCTACGCCTTCATGCTCCCTGTGGCAACTGCAACAAATGCTATCGTCTACGAGGCCACCCAGATGAAGACCATCACCATGGTACATCATCACAGTTCATTATTTACATAAATTTTTATGGTATGAGAACTCTTTTCATGAGATTCTTTCCAGTACAGATTAAGGCCGGGTTTGCCATGAACGTGATCTGCGTGATTGTGATAAACCTGATGATCAACACGTTAGGGCGTGGGCTCTTCGACTTCTCCAAATTCCCTGAGTGGACAGGAAATGCGACCCTCTCCAGCTCCTCTTCTTCTCACTGCAACTATACTCTGTAGTAGTATGCAATACCTTCCCAGACATTTTAATCACTTGCCATTTATCTTCACATTTGTTGCCTTTTCCATGGGCTCCATGGACTCAGACAGTATGTTTAGTGTGATACAACTCTTGATTCAGGGGCTTCTGACTGGGAATAATGCTTCCTGCAATCTATTCATCAGTTTCCTTGGTTGGAAGGAGAAAGAACATGACATGGAAATGGAATACTGCTATTTCTAAATTCTCAGAATAAAAGACCATTCTGTGGGAATGGAATAGCATTTTATTTATTCTGCCCAAAGTGTTCCTCCACATAAGTGCTTCATTCAAGGAATTTCAATTCGGAACTCAATTTCGCAAAATTATTTCCCTCTTCTTTTTTCGCGTCCAGACTGAGTCAAGTATTGAAATGTTGACTACGTTAAACATTGAATTCAAATCCATTCATTTTTACTATAATTAATTTGGCATATCCTCCCAGACGCGAAAAGCTATGTAATTTGCCTTCAGTTTCCATCGGAAGTTTTTCTATGGTGAGGCTGAGTTGAAAACTTCTCTCTTGAACAGCCTTCGGTCATTCTAACTTCTCTGCCTATCTCCACTAGAAGATGCTTCTGTCTGTTCTAGCTCAGTGGCACGTCAGCATGTCAGCAAGACAATCTCCAAAGTGTGACATAAAATGGATTGGAAAGGGTTATTGGCTTATTTAAGAAGCCAGAACAATGGCAAACTCTTGTTTTTGCATTACTCCAAGTGTCGTTCAACCAGACACACCCAGTCTTTTCACGCTTCGCCCATGATGGCTGACAATTCTTGCATATTTGGACAACCTCGTGGAGGACTTGTAAGTCATTGTAAGCTTTTACATGTAAAAGCTTACCAGTCTTATGTTTTACATCGCTGTCAGATATGCTATTTTCCAAGGTTTCATATTAGCACCTTATAATCAACAATGTATACGTCGATGCCATTTTTTAAATAATACTTTTGGATGGTCGAAAATAATTTAACGAAGGGGAGAGGCGGGGCGGGGGATATACTGTATATCCTGCACCATCAGAAGCACAAGAAATTCATGTTTCACATTCCCGTCGACTCACAGATTCCAGTCACGCTCCACCGGCCGATGAATGTGATTAACTGATTAATTTAAATAATCGGGACACATGTGCGTGATTCTTTTCCACTTTGATTAGGAAGTATGTTACCTAAAGAATACTTTGCTCATTTTTTAAAATCATATTCCTTTTTTTTTGGGGGGGGGGGGTGGAGAATGAAAATCAACTCATCCATTCAATACCTGATCCCGGCTCTAAATAAATTAATAGAAATCATTTAGCGTCCTCATCATGTGTAGAGGTTTTCAGCAAGGGAAAATGCTTATTCGGGAGTGCTGGAGAGTCCACTCCTGATCTGTCTTTAGAGCATCCTGCCGAGAATAAGATATGGCAGGTGGTGAGCCCCCAGATAGGCCTGGATATAGCATGACGGGGTCCGACGCACCCAGAAACATCGGAATGGCTCGGCCCCAGTCACCAACTTATCAATAGCCACCCTTGGAGCGAAGTGTCTATTGCAGTCCTCATTAGCCTGGACGACGGCTGAGCCAGTATGGAATACCCAATCCGAAATTATCTAATATATATAGACGATCGTGACTGACTGACGCTAATTCTAACCACGTTCTAGAAGGGTTAGAAATCTGAAACTTAGTACACATGTACCTTTTGGGATGTAGAGTTCAGAAAAACTCCGACTTTGGAGGTATACGCCCTGGGGGTGCAAATTTTGGGGGGAAACGTTTTTCTTCAAAATATTTTGTGACAGATGAGGATGGCATTCAGAGAGACAACTGGATATCCTAGATTCGGTGGTGTAATAGTAGCATCACTAACTGACAATCAGAAGGTATGGGTACAATTCCCGACCATTCCTTGGCTTACTTTTGTTTTTTTTTTTGCCTTCCATGTCCCGTTACTCATTCCCCCACCATAACATTATTTTTGCTTGAGTAAAACGGAGAGACATGGAAAGCTGAAACTTGGCATGGACGTACCTACCGAGATGATGAGTTCAGGAAAAATGAAACATTTTAGATCCATGCCCTCTGTGCATATTTTTGTGAGCCGGCGTTTTCAAGTGTTTTTTGTCCAGGCGTATTGAGATAGTGTGGAAAGATGAAACTTGGTACATAACTACCTGTTGGGATGCTGCAGAAAACTTCAGACTTTAAAAGTAAATACTTTGGGGCCACAAATTTCAAAGGGAGATGTTTTCCACTTATTTTTCTGTATCAGTTAACCTGATGAACATGGAAAGCTGAAACTTTGCATGAATGTGAAATCTGAGACAAGGAGTTATATAAAAATGTTAAGTCTGGATACTTCCCATGGGGAATTTTTTCGAGGTGCGATGTTTTGAAAAAAAAAAAGTTGTTGCGGCGAATTGGGCAGAAATAGAAAGGTGAAACTTCGCACACGTATTAGTGACGATATAACTGAGCTGAGGGAGTATTCATCTTTCGTGGGGCATCCTCTCTGGGTATGGCATTTCTTCGGGTCTGCTTTTCCAAGCATGTGTTTTCACCAGCGAAATGGGCAAACGTATAATATTGAAACTTAATGGGTATGTAGTTCACTGGGCAGACATAGAAAAGTAGCTGGCGCACGCATCACTGACGTGATGTTGATTTAAGGAAAAAAGAAATGGGCAAACGTATGATATTGATACTTAATGGGCATGTAGTTCACCGGGCAGACATATAAAAGTAGCTGGCGCACGCATCACTGACGTGATGTTGATTTAAAGAAAAATTGAACTTTTTTTTATATGTCTCCTCAGAACATAGCTTTTGGTTTGGTCGCTTTTTCAAATACATTTTTTCCGCTAGCAAAAATGGAAACGCATAAGGCTGAAACTGGGTGCCATTGAGTTCCATGAGTCTACATTTCAGAAGAAAAAAAATGTTCGTTAAAACCCATCAGGGTAATTTTTTTTAAGTCCCATTTTCCTGATCTTTTTTTTATCAAACGAAACAGAGACACAAAATTTAAACTTCCCTCAAAAGTACCTATTTGATGGATGCGTATAGGAAAAATCCGACTTTTGAGGTACCAGGTACATGCCCTGGGGGTACATATTTTGGGGGGAGAAGTTTTTTAAAAATGTATATCGTGATGGATAAGGATGTAATTGAAAGAAACCATTGTATGTCCCCGTTTCGGTGGTGTAGTGGAAGCACATCGGACCGGTAATCGTGAGGCCAGGCTTCAATTCCTAACCATTCCATGCCTTTTTATTTTTATTTCTCTTGCCTTCCATGTCCATTGCTTCAATAAAACGGAGAGACATGGAAAGCTGAAACGTGGCATGGACGTTCCTACTGACACGATGAGTTCAGGAGATATGCAAAATTTTAGATCCATGCCCTGGGGGCATATTTTTGGGGCCGACGTTTTCAAGAATTTTATTTTTTTTGTCCTGTTGTATAGAGCTAGTGTGGAAAGATGAAACTTGGTACATAATTACCTACCGAGATGCTGTATGTGCAGAAAAATTCAGACTTTGGAATGAAATGGCCTGGGGCATGAATTTCAAAGGGAGAATGTTTTCACGTAATTTTTTCCCATTAGATAAACCGATGGACATGGAAAGCTGGAACTTTGCATGAATGTGACTACCAAGAGTTAAAGAAAAATGTTACGTCTTGATACATCCCCGGGGGAAAATTTCTCGAGGGGGCGATGTTTCAAAAGAAAGAAATTGTCAATTTCCAAAATATTTTTAGGGGGCATATTTCTTGGGTACGTAACGTTTTTAAAGATTTTTTTTTTAATATGCTAGCGAATTAGGCAGAAATAGAAAAATAGCAGTTGGCGCACGCATAACGGACGTGATGTTGATTTAATGAAAAATTCAACTTTTGCTGAGCGTCTCCCCAGAGCACAGCTTTTGGGTGGGTTGCTTTTCAAATATATTTTTTTCCGCCAGTAAAAAGGGGAAACGTATAAGGCTGAAACTGGGTGGCATGGAGTTCCTTGAGTCTATATTTCAGAATAAAAATAAATATTCGTTTAAAAAAATCAGTGGGTTGCTTTTCCAAATATATTTTTTACCGCCAGCAAAAAGGGGAAACGTATAAGGCTGAAACTGGGTGGCATGGAGTTCCTTGAGTCTATATTTCAGAATAAAAATAAATATTCGTTTAAAAAAATCAGGAAACTTTTTTTTTAAGTCCTATTTTCGTGAATTATTTTTCGATCCAACGAAACAGAAACAGAAAATTTAAAATTCACTCAGAAGTACCTGTTTTATGGCTGAGTGCGGGAAAAATCCTACTTTTGAAATATGCCTCATAAGCGTAGATTATAGGAGGGAAGTATTGCATAATGTATAGCGTTTCCAAATGCGATGGAGCGTTTCCAAATATATTTTTTATCGTCAGCAAAAAGGGGAAACTATTAATAAAAAATCCATATCTAAGATCAACATCAATCATGGACTCGACCCATCCACATCTAATACCTGTTTTATGGCTGAGTGCGGGAAAAATCCTACTTTTGAAATATGCCTCATAAGCGTAGATTATAGGAGGGAAGTATTGCATAATGTATTCTCCACCCTTACAAAAAGGGACACATGAAAAGATTTCAAGTTTGGCTCTGGAAGTCATAGAAGTAATGATTTTTATAAAAATGAAGACTTTCGTCCCTATATGTCACGTATTCCAATGGGACGTACTTTAAATAAGTGTTTGCCATTTCGTAAAGAATAAATGAATTAATCGCTATTCAAGGTAATGGAGAGGCGAAGGCTCGACCACAGCGAGTTTGTTTGCCCAAAGGGCAAACAAACTCGCTAGTATTATATATAGCCGATCGTGACTGACTGATATAAGTAGATATTCACATGCTGAGTTCAGGAAAAATTCCAATTGGGTGATACACGCCATAGGGGCACACCTTTTCGGGGAACATATTTTTTAAATAGTTCTCTTTGCTTCAATCAAACGGAGACCCTTGGAAAG